TTATAAAAACACGGTTCATCTTCATTTTTTATAGCAAACTTTTTTATTGTCTCATCAAAATAAAGATTCCAGATCCTAGAGGCTTGCTTTAATCCATAAATTGATTGATTAAGCTTACATACTTTGTTGGTTTCTTTGGATTCAAAACCTTTTGGCTTGTTATGCATACCTCCTCTTGTAAGTTTCCATTAAACAAAGTAGTTTTGACATCCATTTGCCATATCTCATAGTTATGGTATGCAGCTATTGCAAGTAAAATCCGAATGGACTTCAGCATGGCTACAGGCGAAAAAGTTTCATCAAAGTGAATACCTTGTCTTTGTGTATAACCTTTTGCTACTAGCCTTGCTTCGTATGTATGCACATTTCCATCTATATCAACCTTTTTCTTGTAAACCAATTTGCAACCAATGGGTTCTATCCCACTAGGAAGGTCGACCAAGGTCCAAACCTTGTTCTCATACATCGAGTTCATTTCGGATTCCATGGTCTCTTGCCATCTCTTTGAATCTGTCCATTAGCAAGTGTGGGATCAGATTCAAGTTCATCTAATTGGTCAACAGTATCCGTGGATTCTTGAACTTCTTCAAGTTCTATCTTTCTCCCACTATCCTCTCCTAGAATAAACTATTTCTCTAGAAATATGACTGTCTTGAGATGAACACTTTCTTCTCAACGGGATTATAGAATTGATATGTCATTGTCTTTTTTAGATATCCCACAAATATGCATTTATCAGATTTAGCCTTAAACTTATCCGATTCATTTCATTTCGCATAAGTGTTACAGCCTCAAACTTTCATGTGAGATAAGTTTGGTCTTTTTCCTCTCCATAACTTGTATGGAGTTTTGTCAACCGATTTAGATGGGACACGATTTAGTGTCACTACAAAAAATAACCGATTTTGCGAAAAAAATGTTGCCGCAAAAATTGAGATTTTGTTGTAAAAGTAATTTAGCGACGATAATACGTTTGTTGCAAGTATAGTCTCTCTATATAAGTCACAGAATGTATATTGCAACACTTTTCGACCATTCATCGTATTAACAAAATCACGATACTATTTGTGTGACGCAGAAAATACAAAATGGCAACACAATATTTGTAGCCATAATGTCGTCGCAATGTATATATATTGCGAAAAATTTAAAGGGTGACAAGTCAGTTTGTCGCAACGAATATTCCAATAAAGTTTTATGAGAATTATGCTTGTTGCGCATGTCGAGTCACTAAATATATTTTTTGATAACTTTCGACCATTTATCGCATTAACAAAATCGCAACAATATTTATTCGCTACAGAAAATATGAAACAGCGACATGATAATTGTAACTACAATGTCATTGCAATGCGTATATGTCACGAAAAAATAAAAGGGCGACATGACAGTTTGTTTCAAAGATTATTCCAATAAAGTTTTTACGAGAAAAATATTTGTTGCGAATATTCTTTCAAAAGTGTCCCTTTTCCTTCCTATTTTATTCTGCAACAACATATGCACATAGTAATATATTTTTAATAACAAGTAATGTTTGTTATGAAATATGTTTTACAATGTATTTGATATGTGGCATAATGAATTTTAATATATTCAATATTTGTAGTACAATATTTTATGTAACAAGTAATGTTTGTATTTAAATTTATTTTGCAACACAAATAGTCTGTCGCACCATCATTTGTGCAACGAGTATGGTTGTTGCCTAATTTATTTCGTGATTATTTATATACGTCACATACTTTATTTTACGACATACTATTATTACACAAAATATTTTGTGACAATGAACTTTTATTTATTTGTCAAATTGTGCTTGTAGTTAAATTTATCTTGCAACACAAAGGGTTTATCGCTTCAACGATATACAATTGTCGCCGACTTGATTCTATTTTTATTTACGTATGTCGGAAATTCTATTTTAAGCATATAATTTTTCATTTTCTTTCGTCGCAATGGAATCTTTACTGTGACGCACATTTATAAGAAAATGTAACTTAACTAGAAATAACTCGTGACTTTATGAAAAGCATGCTTCAACGTACAATTATTAAAATATAATTGATATCAAAATAGAAAGCAAAATCATATCGTTGTCAACCAAATAATCAAGGTACTATCTACAAACTTGGTTACCTCCAAAATCAAAACAAATACGAATAAACTATAGTACTAGTGATTTCAAGGTCGAACTACTTTGAATGATTCAACAAACTTGAAAATTAGAAAATAGAACTAGAAATGTGAAAGAAATAACAAAAAAACTCACTGGACACCCAAAAAATATTCTTGACTCCAAGATATGCTTCCGATTTGCCATCAATATGTTCTTTGGTTAAATGAGAATTCCTATAAAGAAAAGCACCACAAATTTAGTCAAATAGGTACATGTAGAAGGTAATGAAATATTAGCTTAAATAAAATATTTCAAATATCTCACATTGAATATTAGCACAAGATCAACAACCATTACCATAAGTAATCAAAAATATTTTATTAGTCGATTACTCTAACCTTAAATGTGAATAAAAATTCTTATCAACTCTCAGATGATGCATCTTCAAAACTCGAATATACAAAGGAAAGGAAAAAAATGTAGATAGACATTAAAAAATAAAATAGAAAAACATTACGCCAAAAAAAAAAAACAATATATATAAAGAATGTTTTACTTACTGATATCACTATCACCATAAAGTTCAATAATGACATTTCAGAGCCAGGAAACAAAGTTCATTAGGCTTCATTTATCATCTCCACAAACTGGTTGCTATCTTCATTAGGCATTTGAGGCGAGAAATTATGATTTCCTCCATGTTCTTCCTCCTCCCGAGTTTAGTTAGCTTTGGATGACATGGGAGCACATAGATCTTCTAACATATCATTCCTCTCATCATTCTTTTCTTCTTCGTCAAATTCAAATGTATTTCTTTCAACACCCTCCATATTATTCTCAAGTTCCTCTCCATGAAAAATCCATCTCTCGTAACTTGCGGAGATTCCAGAGTGGTATAAGTGAGATTCTACCACATCTAGTGACTGAAAGAATGCCTTTTGACAATTTTGACATGGACTGCGAACCTCATTGTTCTCATCCAGACATTGTTTGGCTACCTCCATAAATGAATTAATACCATCTAAATATTCTTCACTTAATCTATTACGAAGTCGCACCCAACTGCTATCCATCATGTATATCACTTTATTCACCTAGACCATACATGATATGTAGTTACTAATTTTTAGAAAAACAGCAAATATACAACCCGGCAATAATAATACCAGTCTGGCAGATGTATCGATATCTAAATATATAGAAACAATCCCCTCCAAGCAATACAAAGGAAGTTATTGCTTTATTTTTTATAATAGGGAAAAATTTTAAGGGAATAAAATAAATGCCCGAGATCTAAAACAAAATAATGAAGAAACAAGAATCGTAGA